CTAGGCGCCCCTGAAATTCTTCATTTTCTCCCATGCTTCCAGGTAATAGAGATACAGCTTCTTCACAGGGCACACTCCCTGAGTAGCAAAGATCTGGGAGCCTCTTTTGCCCTCCCTTGTCCTCCCTGAAGGTGAAGGGGCAGGAGAGTTCTCAAGTGTTCCCTAGAGGTTAGAATGTGTAGATACTCGGACACACACACACACAGCGTTGGGGACTGTGTCGTGAGTGTTGCATACATGTTTGGTGAGTGAATGCATGAAGTTGAGGAATGCATTGAAGCCCTAAAGCTACAATCTCGCACCCCTCCAGCGACTTGCCCCTTTCAGCGTCAATATATATCATCAGCTTCTCAGTCACCAGATGCAATTGGTTCCCTGGCCATTTTTGCCCTGGCTCCCTTCCTGCCTTTCTCACTGCTTCTATTCTCATTCAGATACTGCTCATGTAGCCCCTGCCTTCCTGTCTCCTCTCCCTTTCCCCTCCGGTTTTACTAAGAAGACGCTGCAGCTAAGATCTAGGCCTTGGCGGCATAGTTCCAGAATCTTCCTTGTCCACCCTGACCCTGCCTTTGCTACCTTGGTGTCTCGGGTTCCTGGAAACCACATCTGGTTTTCCCAGCTCCCCCAGCCCTGTTAACAGCCTGACACGTAACTTAATGCCCCCCTTTCATCTGAGCTGCTGCCTCCATGACCTGCCCTGCCGTGCCCTTGGACCTGACAGCTTTCACATTCCAGACTGTTTACAGTGCCCCAGGCCTCTGGATGGTCCGCAGGGAAAGCCCAACATGGCGACCTTGTTCTCTCTTCCCATATTTCTGTGACTTTATATATCCTGCCTACATAAGTAAGTTCTAAGCTCCTGGGAGGGCAGGGCAATCTGTGGCTTATTCCTCTTTATCCCTTGCGACACCACCATCTTCATTCATTCATTCACTCATTTCTGAAGGATGGAATGTCCATACTGTGCCAAGCCCGGTATCGGGGGTTAGGGTGGCACAAGGGAGGCAGACGCAGTCTAGTGTGTTCTGGGAGATTCCAGGCAACGGGGAAGTCTAGTAACATGAGACTGGCAAACCGATTGTGGGCCCAGGCCGGTAGAAGTATTTGTGAACATGGTGGTGAACAGGCAGGGCCTGCCCATGTCTCGAACAGGTAAGGAAGAAATTTGGGCTGACAGATGCTGGAGGACTACCTTTAGGAGCCTGGGGGAGCAGTGGGAGAAGGAGATGGAGCATTGTCTGCTCTTTCCAAAATGAGCGCACACAAGGGGAAGTAGCAATTATGGTCCGACAAAAACAATATTTCCAGTTGTTACCTGAAACAATAGGATTTGGGGGTGTAATTCTGAGAGGCGGGTGATGTAATGGGAATGGCACTAAACTAAACTTCTTTCTAGAACATTCAGATTCTGTGACCCCTTGAACTGTGTCTCAGTGTCACCTCTCCCTCTCTCGCTGGCTCTCAGTCCTTGGCCAGCTCCGTTCCCCTACCGCAGCCTCCAGTTTCTTCCTCTCCGACTTGGCAGGACGTGCAGCGGGGTGGTGTTCACGGAGCTTGGAGTCTTGAACAGTAAGCTTCCTCCGGGCTGTTGACATTCTTGGCATGCAACAGGAACAGAAGCATGGATCAGAAAGGCTCAAGCAGCAGAGCAGACCAAGGTCGGGGAGGTGGGTGCGGAGTGGAAGGAGAGAGGACCTGACTCAGTTACCACATCTGCACGGCACAAGGATGGCTTGGATCCTCCCCAACCCCGTCCCTGACCCATGACGACTACAATACGTTAGAGGGGCTGCAGGTTTCCAAATCCCCCTTTAGCTTGTTAGAAGTTTGTAGGCACACTCCAGACTCTTAAATAGGGAGCCCAGGGCCGTGGCAGAGCCAGGGACTACGGCGCCTAGGGCAGCTAGGGGAGGGGGCAGCGAGTGAGTGGGGGGCTGCAGGGAGAGGCCTTGGGGGACTCTCCTGAGGTGAAGCCCAAGGACAGGCAGTCCCTGAAAAGGAGCTCACTTCTTGGCCTCAAAGAGCTGGCCTTGGCAAGTGTTTTAAAGGAAACATTTCAAGATCCCAGGTCTCCAAAGAATACAAATGGCATGGTATTATGCGAGGTGTTGGAGTTGTCTTTGCATAGGAGGGGAACTTCGCTGGAGGGAGGGCTTTGCCCTGGGGGTTGGATCTGCACCCTAATCTATAGAAGCCCATTTGCGGAAAACAGTAAGAGCCAACACTTAGAGAGCATCTGCTATGGTCCTAGGTGAGGATCCAAGCGCTTGACGTATGCTCATTAACTCAGCGCATGCTCAGAGCCACCCCCACCCCCCCACCACCATTTCACATAGAAGACAGGCACAGAGAGGCTAAGTAGGTTGGCCTGGACCACACAGCTAATGAGCGGAGGAGCAGGTAGATCTGTCTCCAGAGCAATAAACCACAGCGCCCTTGGCAGCATCCGTGACTGTCCCCAGTAGAATTCCAGCTCTTCCTATCACCTTCCACTGGCTGCAGGCATCCCAGAACATCATTAATGCTCATCACTACCTCAAAACGAAGGGAGTCATTGGAACCGCTGCTAGATCTTGTTATGTTGAGTGTATTCATCAAGAAGCCCGTACGACTGGATTAGAAGTTGTATTTCAGGACACAGTAATCCGTTTCCTTTGTCATCCTTCATAATTTGTTAGATGCATTTTTTTCTGAGAAAGGGTCCACAGGCAGCACCGGGCTGTCAAAGGGGTCCACGGCCTGCTCTAGAAGGCTCTTCCTGAAGCCTCGGGAAGCATGCGCACTGAGCACCCTTCTGTGCCAGGCACTCCGCCCGCATGCTTTCCCCACAGCTCCACGGCTCTGGGAGCTAGCTGTGACAGACAAGGAGACCAGGACTAGCAAGGAGGGAGCCTTGTCTCTACGGGCACCATCATGTAGGGGGCCAAACTGGGCCACGCGTCCAGGCATGTCTGACCGGAGTCCATTCTGTAACAACTGCCGCTCTCTGTCTTCCCTGGAAGATGAGTGCTGGCCCTCAAATGCAGGTCCCTCAAATACAAATGATCCCCCCCCGCCCCCGCAAGATAAAGGACACCTGAATGCACAGCAGCCAACAGCACTTTTTCAGCCCCAGAGCATCTCCAGACCTGGGGTATGCATTGAGGGCACTTCTGGGGAGAAGGGAAGCGTCTGAGAGCAGTACCAGGCCCAGTGGTCGGCAGCTGGGGGGGAGGGGGGGAATAATGGCTGCCAGCTGCCTGCCTGAGTTCAAATCCCAGCTCTGCCCCTTGCACACTCATAAACCAATTTCTCAACCTCTTGATGCCTCAGTTTCCTCAACTGTAAAATGAGAATGATAATGGTACCTCCGAAGATGAGAATGGTCCTACGGATGCAGCGAGGTAGCACACGAAGCCCTTGGTGTGAGCCATCGCCATTATTTTCTCCTGAGAGTGTTGCATGGAGGGAGCCCAAGGCTTCTGGAACAACGTTGGGAGATGCCCACCCTTTGTCCTCCCCCGTATCTGTTACCTGCTCACCCTTGCCCGGATTTCCGGATGTAATAAGCAGCAGAAACCCTCAACTCTGTGGCTCGCACCCCTGACTGCACATTGAAATCACCTGCAGAGCCCTCACGGTGGCAGGTGCCCAGTCCCCACCCCCCACCCCCAGACTAACAGGCTCTGACTCCAGGGCTGAGGCTCGACTAAGGAGCATTTCTTCCAAAGCCCTTCGGGAGATTCTGATGTGGAGACAGCTCCCAACCATGCCCGCAAAAGGAAACGGGGCTGTGTGCCGCTCTCGGGGGACAGCGAGGAAGGAGGGGGAGCCTCGGAGAGCACGCCCTGCTCTGCAGGCAGGATGAGAAGGAACAGAAGCCCAGGCGTGGAGACGAGATGGGCAGCCTCAGGGAGGAAGAGGAGTGGGAGCCTGCAGTAAGAAAGAGAGAGAGAGGGAGCAGGGGGAGGGGCAGAAGCCGATTCCTCGCTGGGCAGGGAGCCGGACATGGGGCTGGATCCTGGGACTCGGGGATCATGGCTCCAGGCCCCGCCAGGCCGAGGGCCTAGGTGGTCTTCCCGCAGAAGGAGATGGGAAATACGGGGGTGAAGGAAAGAGGAGGATGTGCTCACAGCCTCTTTCTGTGCCCTCGGATGGTAGATCCTGACGGGTTGTTAACGCCTTGCAAGGAACACGGGAGACGGTCTGTCCCTCCTCCTCCCCCCCCCACACACAGTGGCTCCCCATCCGCCCACTCACAAGCTCACACCCAGATTCCACCTCTACCCAACCCAGCAGAAAGTCCCAAGTCTGATCCATGCAAATATCTGGCAGCCAGAGCAGAACAGCATGCGGGGGGCGGGGTGGGGGAGGGGCGGTCAGATCCCAGGTCCCCAAGGGTGCTGCCTTCTGCTGTAATGGGAGACTGCAGCAAGCCCGGAGCTCAGCAGGGCTGGGATTAATATGTTTTCCCATGTCAAGAAAGGAAACAGGGGCAGAGCGGAGGAAAGTGACTTGCTCTCGCGTACGGAGTAGTGGTAGAGGCAAGACTCCAAGTCCCATGCTCCTTTTCCCACACTCACCTGCAGATGTCGGCTTCGGCCCCTAATCTGCCAGTCCTGGGGACCTGACCCATGTCCCACCGTGGTCCTGTGTCCGTAACAGGGTCTCTTGAGTCACCCGGCAGACGTCTTGAGCGGGCTGCTCTGGGGGAATCTCAAATACACCTCCGGCTCTGAGTCTGATTCAGGAGTGGATGTGTGGGACATTTGGGGCTTGGCATTCATGTTGCCTTCCCCCCATCTTTTGTTCTGGGACATATTTTGGCCAGGTGAGATTTTCCTCTCGGCCCTCCCCCCGCCCAGCACCACCCCAAAGTGGAGACTATGTCTTTAAGAAAGGACGAGTCAGAGCCACGGGGATCAGTTTCAAGCAGCCCTAAGAAGGCGAATCTGGATTGAGTTTAGGAAGAAAAAAGAAGGGGTTAGCTTTGGTCCTGCCTCCTTTCCTTTCTCGCCTTTGCTCGTCCCTCCTCCGGCCTTAGTCTGGAAACTCTGTTAACTTGGCCAGGAGGTTACGGAGCCCAGGGCTTTCCCCAGCAGCCTTGTCCTCTCACCTTGTCCCTCCTCCAGCTCCCAAGCACGCGATCTGGAGGACTGCTGGGCAAGTTGCTGGAATGACTAGGTACGTGGCCGGGACATTTTAACCTTCGCCCTGTCAGTGAGGTCTGGGGAGTCCGAAATGGACCTGGTGGGAAATGGGAGGGGGACCCCCAGGACATCCAAGAACCTTGGCAACTGAGGCAGGGAGAAGATGGATGGGCTTTGGCCACACTCCTCTCGGTGACTCTACCAGGGGCTCTGTGTTCAGGTGTCTGTAGGCTCAGAGAGAGGCTTGGTCCGTGCAGCCTGGCCCCCCACCACGCTTGTGAGTTGCCTACTCGACCCCTGATGGGTGGGAGTTTGGGACTGGGGAGTGTTGGGTTTGCTGCTGGAGGAACTGAAGCCAGAGGGGTGCTGGGAACCCCATGAGAAAGGCAGATGGGACTATGTCCGGCCCCAGCCATCTGTCTGTCCACGAACCTCTGGGGGCATGTAGCCTCTCAGATGAGGTCAGTGGGATTCGGTCTGCTCGAGTTGCATTTGCAAAGGGGTCAGGAGCCGTGCAAGGTCTCCTTGGGCTTGTTTTCAACTTTCTGGGATGCCTACAAGCAAGGTTCTTAATTTTTAAGGACTCAGTTTACACTTCAGAGAAAAGGACTTAATGATACTTAGCCTAAAGATGGAAACCCAAAGAAAGGGGTAGAGAAGGCAAACTGGGCAGGTGATAGAGATTTCTGAGAGCTCCAGAATGTTTTCCCTGTATATTTCAGGATCCATCCGTGCATTTATTTATATATGTATTCAACACACATCTGTTAAATGCCTATTGGCACCCATCACTTCTGTGGGGAACCCGGCAACCCAACATGGCAGCTGATCCTCCCACCTGACCTCCTTTTCCAGGTCTCGGTCCCTCCTTTCCCTCGCCCACATCCCAGCCCATTTGAGAGAGGGAAGAGGCACCAGCTTCTAGTGCACTCAGGTGACCTGATGAAGGCATGATAAGTGCTGACGTTGTTGGCAATGGAGTGGGTACGTCTCACCTGACAACAGTCCCTACTGAAAGAGACTTGGGCCTGAGCTCCAAACATGACCTCAACCACTGGGAAGGACTTTGAAGGTCAGGAACCAGCAGGGATGCAGAAAGTTAGCCTAACCCCTCCCAGGCAGAAGGGGACAGGCCAGGCCTATCTTTGGACATTAGGGGTAGAGCTGGGCCCCTGGTTGGGCCTTCAACATCAAATGTAGGCCAAGCAGTGGATGGCTTTGCCAAGAGCATCTGAGGACTGTTCTTTGTGACTTCAGTGAGTTGTCATAACTTGGGCAGCAGGCATGCTGGGATCTCAGCCACCTAGGCTGTTGAGGAAGAAGGGGTGGGGTTGGGAATACTGGTTCTTGGGAGGTCCTTCGGGTGTGGAGGGCTTAGACGTGGCGCAGGTAGGCTCGTATATGTGTGTGTGTGTGTGTGTGTGTGTGTGTGTGTTATAGGAAGTAGCTCCTATGAAAAAAAAAAAAAAGCCTGGCAAAAGCCAGTGGGAATTATAACCCTATCCTAGTAGGCTTGGGATTCAGGCCTGGAGTCCTAACTGGCAGGTTGCAAAGGGCCAATGAATACAGTGAAGGAGCACGGTGACCAAAGCCAGGGCCTGCTCACCCTGCCTGGGCAAAAATGGGAGGGGGCTGAGTGGATGGGTGAGCTTCGTGACTCTAGTTGAGAGGGGCTGAGGGGGACTGCCAGGAGCTACCACCACCCTCCTCCCAAACAAAGCCTCACAGCAGTATCTGTCTCCACTGCACTCTGGGAACTTGGGGCTTGAGCGGGGCTTAGCTGAGGCGTGGTTTCTGAGCCTGGAGGGGAGATGGGCAATAGATTGTGTGATTTCTCCGGGCTGTGATGTTGACACTCTGCAAACGTCCCCTCGTTCACCCTGGCTGCTCCTGCCTCCCCAAGAAGTGCTGGCACACAGGAAGGGGAGGGGGCGGGGAAAGCCGGGGATTGTGTTAGAAAGGTTAAATGCCAGCCAGCATTCTACAGATAGAATAAGGAGCTGGGCCTTCCCATCTAGGGCCGCTTCATGGAAGAAACTCAGGAAAGGTGGTTTCCTCTCCCTGGGGAGGGTGCATTTTTTGAGAAGTGCCTAGCTTCCTCTCCATTTTCTCCACAAGTCCAATCATCTGAGGGGACCAGGTTTTGTGTACTATATTCTTGTAAAGTGGAGAAAGCCTCCCCTGAAATGTAAAGCCTGAGTGATTCCAGTAAAAAGATCCAAGTGAAGGAGGCTTCTGCCCAAGTATGGGAAAATATCCATCCATCTCGCCACTTAATTAGAAAAATGATCTGCCGAGTAGTGAGTCATGCTGCCCGTCAGCAAACAGCACCATCTCTTGCCACAGAGCCAGGAATAACGTAGGTGAGAGATGACAGCAGCAGTGACGAAGAGAAGACACGGAGGGATTCGGATGCCTGGTGCCACCAGCCGCCGCTTGGACCACCTTTGCCCCCTCCTGCGCAATAGATAATGCACCCAGCAGAGCCGCGTCATCTGTGACGCAGATCAGTATGGCTGGGGCTCGGCACGCATCTTGATAAGTGGGGTCTCCACGGGGGGCATCCAGGATCGATCCACAGCTCTTTGCATAGTCCGGGAGTTCATTTTTATTGAGGGAAACATACATACCATAAATTGCATAAAGCACACTAGTCGTGAATGTACAGCTCAATGAATTTGTACCTATGTCTACATCTGTGTGTAACCAGCACCCGGCTCAAGGTATAGAACCTTAGAGGCATCACAGAAGGCTCACTTTTGCCCCTTCCGCTCGGGGGTTCTTTATTTACATGGACCGAAGTGCTGCAACCAAATGTTTGGGATCAGGGGTGTGCTGGTAAATGTTTAACAGCCAGTTCTGGTGTGGGGGGGGGGGCTCTGCTTTGTAGCCTTTGCCAAGTTTTGTGGCATAAATATTCCCACCGTGGCTGATTTCAAGCTACAGACGGTTTAACAACTGGCTGGCAAAATTGTGGCTCTGGTGAGGCAGGACAGGCTGGTGGCTGTGATGGGGTATCAAAGAGAGTCAGGTCCACCGTCTACCCAGCCCAGCCTGGGGAGGTGCCGGTAAGAATGTGCTCTCGAGTAGTCCCAGGTCCAGCCCCCTTGGTGAGGAGAGAATTGTTCACAGGATTGAAAGTGATCTCTAATTTCTTTTGTCCCTGCACCAGACATCAGTTGTGCCCCTACGTCGTGGCAAGCTCTAGGGTCACAAAGAGGAGTAAAGCATGGTTCTGTCTCTCAAGGAGTTTACGTAACACAGCGCTTGGAGGGAGAGGCAGACATGTGGATATATGTGCAATCAAGGGTTCTAGGGGCTGGGGTAGGAGGCTACATAGGACTTACTGAGGGCACCAGAGAGGGCTCATTTCTGCCTTGGAATCTAAAATGCATTTCCTTTTTGTTACTAAGTTTTTAATTTTAATTCCAATATTTACTTTGGGAAGTGCCTGGGGATTGAGGAAAAGAGTGTCAGGCTCATACATGCCTGAGCATGTACATACATGAGCCTATACACATAAGTGCTTTCTAATTATTAGCTCCAATCAGGAATTATTAGCTACTAACTTGGGCAAGCCCAGAACCTAAGTCTCATTGTCTTCGTCATGAAATGAGAATAAGAGGAGCACCTGGGTGGCTTGGTCAGTTAAGCATCTGCCTTCAGCTCAGGTCAGGATGGGGCGGGGGGACGGGGATCGAGCCCCACATCTGGCTCCCTGAGCAGCGGGGAGTCTGCTTCCACCCCTCCCCCTGCTCCTTCTCTCTCTCTCTCTTGCTCATTTTCTCTCTCTCTCAAATAGATAGATAAATAAATAATCTTTTAAAAAAAGATGCCAACCTTGTCGGGGTTGTCTTGAGAAGTACATACGATCACGTATGTGAACTGACTGCCCCAGAGCAGGTTCTCAGCAAACGCTGGTTTTCCTCCCTTCTCTGCTTTCCCATACAGTGACTTACGACCTCGCCTGAGAAAACCCAGCTCGAACATCTTAGGAAATAAATACATCAAATACATAAACCAACCCAGTGGGGGGGGGGGGGGACTCTTTATTTTGAAATAATTACAGATTCAGAGGAAGTTGCAAAAAAATGTATAGGGGGTCCTGTGACCCTTCACCCAGTGTTCCCCAGTGTTGACATCTTAATTATAGAGTATCAAAACTAGGAAATTGATATTGGTACAATCTACAGAGCTTCTTCAGATTTCACAGTGTTACATGCGCTCAGTATGTGAGTGTGTGTATGTATCGTGTGTCTGCAATTTTATCACATGTGTAGATTTGCATAACCATCCCCACAGTGGAGATGCAGAACTGTTGGCTCACCGCAAAGATCTCCCTGGTGCTACCTCTTGGCATTCATACCCACCCACTACCTACTCCCTACCCCCCCCCCCATAGCTAGACCCCAGCAACCGAGAGGCTATTCTTCAAGAGTATATATTGTTTTTGTTATTTCGATCATGCTGTACGGAGGAATTCATATCCTGTGTAACCTTTCAGTACTGGCTTTTCTCATCGAGCAGAATTTTCTTGAGACCCTTGCAATTTTTTTTTAAAGATTTTATTTATTTACTTGAGAGAGAGTGAGCGAGAGCAAGGGCACAAGAGGGGGGTGGGCGGAGGGGCAGAAGGAGAGGGAGAAGCAGACTCCCCACTGAGCAGGGAGCCCGACATGGAGCTCGATCCCGGGACCCTGGGATCATGACCTGAGCCGAAGGCAGACGCTTAACCTACTGAGCCAGCCAGGAGCCCCGAGATCCTTGCAAGTTATTGCATCTATCAGTAGTTTATTCCTTCTTTTTGCTGAGTAGTAGTCCATGGTATGAATATACTACTAGTTCGTTTGACCATTCACCTGTTGAAGGATATCTGGGTTGTTTCCACTTCGGGGCTATCAGGAGCAAAGCTGCTATGAACATTTATGTAACGGGTTTGTCTGTGAACATAAGTTTTCATTTGTCTGGGGCAAATGCCCGAGAGTGCAGTTGCCAAGTTGTATGGTAATCGCATGCTTAGTTTTTAAAGAAATT